TTTTTTTTTTTTTCCAGAAAGCTTGAGTTTTTCTTCTCACAAAACAAAACAGCCGTGCGCCCTCTGCAATTGTTCTCTTCTCTATTTCTTTCTACACTTTGGTCTCTTTTTTATTTGCAAGATATATGCTTCCCTCCTTATCTCTTAATTTCCAAGTAAAAAGCCTATCAAGAAAAGAAAACCAAATATTAAAAAGAATCAAATAACAGTATGTATACTAAACATAAAACAACTAATATAAACATTGATATGGTTCGAGATCAGTGACTTCGGTCTTGCGGAAGGTTCTTCCCGGTTATGACATTGGTTCGCTTGATTCGGTCCGAGCTTGAGTGTTCTCCGGTACCTGAAAGCGCGTGCCGGAATTACTTTGGCGCAAGACCCTCCGACGCCCAAGTTAGGATCTCGAATTTAGAGAGAATTGGATGCAATAAATGTAGTAGTAATGATATTAAATGAGATCTTACCTAATAATTGTGAGATTCAACATATATATAGTGCCGGATCGTACGGACTCCCTTCTCGGGTCCTAAATCCTCGGATATCTATTGTACCAATACAGCTTGGTCGGTACTCAAGCATATGGGTCGATATTCTACTTCCCCTTGCTATCGTCGTGTGGTCGAGCCTAGACCTTTGTTCGCCCGTCGAGCCGGTCGAGCCCCACTCGACCCCATGTCCTTGTTCGACCGTCGGCCGCACTCGACCCCATGCCTTCGTTCGACCATTGAGCCGGTCAAACCCCGCTCGACCTAGCGTCTTTGTAAGGCCGCTAAGCCGGTCGAGCTCCACCATGACCCTTCTCACCCGCTCTACTGCTAAGCCTATTCGACCATTTGTTCGGTTAACTCGAGGCTATAATCCCTATCAACTACTCCCCCTATTTACAGATACACGGGCCGATACCCGTGTGGTCGTAAATATAATCTTCTCGAGGTTTGTTGTTAACTATCACGTCTTTGATTTCGGCATCCGCATTTTACACTTTTATCTTGGGCCGATCGTACACCGTGGTCGATCTACTCAATGCGTCAGAAAGGAATTCATGGGATACAAAAAATAGAATTATTTAAAAATTATTTGAAAAAAACCCTAGTCGCGAATTAAGCGAATTTTGTGCATCAATGGTAGCTAATCGGAGCCTGTCG